TAAAGATTTAAAATTTCTGAATTTAGTTCAAATTGTAATACCACATTTCCAAGAAAAATGAACCTTTTTGCACAAGAAATTTAAATAAAATCATACTAATATACACACACACAAAAAAGAAAACATTGTGTCATGAGGGAAGCTGTGCAAGTTACCCGGTGCTATTGGTGACAAATCTGATTATGGTCACTGCCTGCTGCACCCTTGATGCGGGCAGCTGAGGGCGTGGGAGGCACAGCTAAAACAAGGATTGATCGTGAGGGACAGTTGTCACGTAAGAAAGACACGGGCATATTAGGTAAAAAGCTGAACTAAATGCTTTATGGCCTTCAGTATCTGAAAACCCTAGGGCTGGCCAGATAGCTCAGCGATTAAAGTGCCTGCTTAGGATCTCGGGATAAATCCTGAGGGGATTTCACTGAACTTATCAGACCCAAAAGCTACAACTCTTGTTGCATAGGTCTTGCTTTACCTCTGTCTTGGCCATCCAGCAGAAAAGTATAAAAACGAAATATAAGAAGTAAAGCCATGCTGTTATGTTGAGCTGTCAGGACTCAGGTCAACAATTTCTGACATTGCCAGTCAAGCGGAAGACCCAATACTATTATGGACTACTGGACTCTTTTAGAATATTTTGCTGAGTTTACACACCTATAATATTCAAATACCGGAACTTAAGAAAAATGGGGTATACAGACGATTGTATCTGTGTATTCAAAGTGGTTTGGATAGATATATAGTTACATTCTCTTAATGAATAGAATGATTCTTATACACCAATTAACCACTAGGAAGAATGTATGCAGTGTGTTAATTATTGAAACTGTCCTACTGATTTGATTTGCAACTGTCTCATTGCTTTTATCAATAAAATTATGGGAAAAAAATAAAAATAAAAAACTTATTGCATATATGTCATACATATTGATTGCATTCATTATAGGGAATTTGTCCTTTTATATAATAGATTTTCTTTTTCTTCCCCCAGTTACTCTCCCTACATTTCAATACCTCCTCCCCTCCCTGTTTACAAAAGATTTGTTCCATTCTTTTTCATTCTCTTTTTCGTGCCTTTGTTCTCCCCTGCCCCACCTGTTCGCCTTCCCATTTGAACATTTTCTTGCTATTTCCCAATACCTGTCATCTGTTTTGGTCCTTTTTCCTTTTTTATGCTTCTCATTTCTCATACAAAAGAAATAATGTGATATTTAATAATGTGAGTGATTTCACTTAACAGTGTGTTCTCAAGATACATTTACCTAAAATGTCTCAAGTTTATCCTTTATGGCAGAGGAGTAAACTGTTGTCTACTCTATAAAATTGTTTTCTTTATCCGTTCACCCATTGATGGGCATCTAGGCTGTTTTCAAGATTTAGCTGTTACAAATAGTGCTGTTATAAACACAGATGTGCATATATTGCTATGGTATAATACTGCTAACTCTTTCAGGAAGATACCAAGAAGGGAAATAGCTAGGTTAAATGGAACCTCTAGTTTTAGTTTATTGAGGAAACTTCATGCTGATTTCCATAGTGGTTCTACCAATTTACACTGACACTAACAGTGGAAGAGTTCTTTTTCCCCCACAGCCTCACTAACATTTATTATTGGTTCTTTTTTTTTTTATGATAGCTATTGTTTCTGAAGTGAGATGGAATCTCGGTGTTTTAATTTGCATTTTTTGATTGACCAGTGATGTTGAACATTTTTCATATTTATTTGCTATTTATACTTCATCTAAAAGCATCTATTCATTTCAGATACCTAATTTTTGATTAGGCCTTTAAGTTTTGGAGGGCTGATATTTTCTATTTTTTATGTATTGTAGTTATTATCTTTTATAAGAAGAATAGTTGGTAAATTTTTCCCCCATTCTGTGGGTTGTTTCTCCACTGTGTTGGTAGTTTCTTTTGCTGTGCAAAAGATTTTTGATATGAAGAAATCCCAGTTGTTGATACTTTGTAATATTTCCTGTGTATTCGGGGTTTGTTCTTAAAGTTTTTGCCTACAACCATATCATGAAGTGTTTTACCTATTTTACATTCTAGCAGATTGTTTCTCTTTTTATTATTTAGATCTTTGATCCATTCTGAGTTTAGCTTAGTGTAATATGAGAGATAAGGCTCTAGGTTTAATCTGTCGCATGATGAAAGCCAGTTTTCCTGGCCCCATTTACTAAAGAGACTGTTTTTCTTCCTCTATCAGAGATAAAGGTGGCTAAGTGCATTCAATTGTTTCTGATTCTTCTATTCTGTTCCATTGATTCTCAGCGTTCCCACTCTCTCCCTTTCCCTCCTTCCCCTAGCTCTCCCTTGCTCTTCCTCCTTTTCTCTCCCCCACTCCACTCCCAGCACTGTTTTTATCACAGTAGCTCTATAATATTATGATTGACGATTGTGATGTCCCCTACCTTGCCTTTCTTACCAAGAGTTTCTTTAGCTATTCTAGGCTTCTTCTGCTTCCATATGATTTTTTTTTTTTAAACTGTATTTGGTTGTTATAGGGCCTTACTATGCAGCTTGGACTCTTAGTGATCCTCCTGTTTTCAGCCTCCCCAGCGCTGAGATTACAGGCATTTGCCACTATGCCTGGACTCTGGCTCGCTCAGTACACCCTGGGGGCAGGGCTGGCATGGCATGTGGTGCCCGGGATCAAACCATGGTCCCCACTGCCTTTGACTAAGCTTGCCTAAGCAGGTGCTTTAGTCCACTGAGCTGTCTCGCTGGCCCCTCCATATGAACTATAGGGATGTTTTTGCTAGTTCTGTGAAGTATGCTGTTGGTATTTTGACTGAGATTGCATTAAATCTGGGTGATACTTTTAGAACTATGTCATTTTAACTATATTGGTTCTATTATCCAAGAACAAGTGATATCTTTCCATTTTTTTGTATCCTTTGTATCAGAGAGGAAGAGAAAGGGAGGGACAGAACATATGTTAGTGTAGCCATTCCATTTTAATAATGTATTTTTCTCTTCTAGGTGCCTTAGCTGGACCAATTATTGTGGAGCCACATATCACAGCAGTATGGGGAAAGAATGTTTCACTCAAGTGTTTAATTGAAGTGAATGAAACCATAACACAAATTTCATGGGAGAAGATACATGGCAAAAATACACAGACTGTTGCAGTTCATCATCCTCAGTATGGATTCTCAGTTCAAGGAGACTATCAGGGAAGAGTGTCATTTAAAAATTACTCACTTAATGATGCAACAATTACTCTGCATAATATAGGATTTTCTGATTCTGGAAAATACATTTGTAAAGCTGTTACATTCCCACTTGGAAATGCCCAGTCCTCTACAACTGTAACTGTGCTAGGTAAGTGTGGTTGGATTGTGTGTTTTGGTGACAGTGATGAGAATTTTAATTAAATTAGTAATTTATTTTTAAAAATGTTCTTTATGGTTACAATGAATTTAAACATGGTTTCTCAAGTTCTGTCTTAAAATGTTTGATTCTAGTCTCTTAATTTAAACAAAATGTTAACTATGTCTCTGTATGTCCTATAATGCTACATAGTGGCATTTTACTGTACTATTTATACTATTTTATCTATAATATTAATTATTATATAATGTTATAACTATATATAATTAAATATATTAAGTAATTATAATATATTAAATAATTATAAATGCTGAGTTTCTGTGACATTTATTTTAATTACTTGGTTAATAGTTATTATTGGTAACTAAATTACCATGTTTAGTTAAGCTTGCCAGTTTCTTCCAATGACTGGTTTTGACTTTTTTGAACCTTTGACCCCTTCTGTTTCAGTTTTCAAATCAGATTTTATTCATCCTATTGTAGATTTGTGTAATTGTTTGAGTATTGTGGTTCCGAAAGACCGGTGTGATGTTTTTGATACACTATAATGATGAAATCTGTAAATCAATATGCTTTAACTATGAGGCCATGAAGGCTTGGAATTAATTCTCTACCTTCTACCAATTGAGTGAAAAAGGGTAGTATTTTTAAAAATAGTATTTTGCAATTAGTACATGTAGTAAACAAGGGAAACTTGCCACAGTAGCAGGTTTGAAACTTGGTAGTTGAGTAAATTGTTATGGACTCTTCTAAATGAAAACAGGTATTTGGGAGGCTTAACAATGAGTTCAGTGCTAGCTTATTGGGTTAAGAATATATAGGTGAAAAAAGGTGTGTAGCTAGAAACTGAGGTGCTAGCTCATTTAGCAAAATTGGAGGAAGTTTGCAATGATACATTTAATGTTTATTAAGTAAAGATTCTAAATTAAATGTAAAAGTAACTAAATAGGCCTAGGTTATGTAGTAAAGCATAGTTGGAAGAAATGTGGATGAAGAGTTTAAGGAGAGTTATGAGAAGAGATCAGGCAGAGCAGTAACCAAGAGAAGATAATTTTCAAGAGAAGATTATTCTAGCAGCGTTTTCTGCCTACGGAAAGGCACATAATAGTGGCATATAGCTAGTATTATTCTAAATGTATTACTTAAAACAGATTCCTTAAATAAGAGGTCTTTGTTCTTTTTAACAGGCTAGAAAGGGCTGTGCTGAAATAGCAGATTCTGCAAAATTAATAAAATAGTTATAAAGAAAATATTGTGTCATAGATAGAGGTCTTTTGTGACACTAAAGTTTCAGTGGAATGTTTGCCACACAAAACAAATTAAGAAAACGGGATATAACAAAAAGTTTTAGGCAAATTCAAAAAATGCCCCATAGTAGAACAGTTGTTAATAACAGGATTCCTCTTAATGGAACATTATGTAGTCCTTAAGAGAAAAATATAGTTAAGAGAATTATTGCTTCATGTAAAGAAATGAGCCACAAAATTAGAAATAGAAATGAAAGGCCTCTAAAATCTGAAAAAGGTGGACAAAGGATATAAGCTTTTACAGTTGCTCCAATTTGTCCTTAAATCATTTGCAGGTGATAGATCAGGGGTTGTAGGGGGTCAGGGAGGGAGAAACAATTAGAAGAGAGTGAATTCTGAGTAGCACCTTAAGGGGCCAGAGAAAACAGCGGCAGACAGGGAAGAGTGACTACAGAGAGGTTGACTAAAGTATTGACATACCTGATAAAACGAAGTTTATCAAACCAAGAAAATAAGAACATAGATGGATTTTTCTTAAGATATACAAATAACAATTTTATTTATTTTTATTCTTTTTTTGTCTTTTAGGACAGGAGGTACAGGGGGTACAGGGTCTCACTGCATAGAAATACAAATAACTTTAAATTGATTTTAAAATAAATGGTTAAGTTCTTTAGTAGTAAAGCTAGCTGCTATAAATGATGGCATAAACTATTCAGATCAACTTTCCCACTGAAGGAGAAATATACCTTTGAAAATTTCAGGGAAATAACTAACATAGTGAAGAATATAAGTATGTCAAAATCTAGTAGGTGAGAACAGATGAAGTTGGTGCTGATAGCAGCATCCACCCTTACGATATTTGATAAGTCAGAAGAAACATATGAGATGCAGAGCTAAAATTTTGAGAGCCTTGACCAGTGAGTAAAATGTCTAAAATTGTACTCAATATGAAATAGCTAATCCCCCTTCTCGTTCCCTTTGCACTGTAAAGATCTCAGTTAGCATAGTAAAAGCATTTAGAAGTAAATGGGCTTAAAGACCTCTATATCTCCTTATGTCACTTGAGCAAACTGAACTTAAGCAATTCCTGGTCTGGTTATTGTTTTCAGGAGCTAGGCCTAAGAGAATATATATCTTTTCTGGGGAAGGTACTTGTTTTCTGATCTCAGAATATTTCTGTACTAATTATTTAAACACAGTTGAATGACAAGACATACAAGTAAGGAAATCCCACAGGTAGTGGCTTGTACAAATAAGACAACAGAAATTGACCCACAAAAGTCAATTTATAAATTTCTTTACAGAACAAGAAACAATACAAAATTATGTAGTAGGTCTCTCAAAAGAGTGGACAGTATTTCTTAGTACATTAAGTAGTTAACTCAAATAAGTAAAAGTTATACATTTTAATACATTTTAGTTATAAGCTTCTGCTCACTGAAGTACCAGAAAGGTAAAAAGACAATTTTGAACTAGTAAAAGACACTTGTACCGCATACCAGTATGAAAATAACTATTGTCTCAAAATTATGCAGAACTTGTATACCTCAATGAGGAAAGAAACAGAGTTAGCTTTAGTAGGCATTTTTAAGCAGGAGAAATTTTAGATACCCCAAAACATGAAAAATTTCTAATCTCATGAAGTAAAAACGATAAAATCTTAATTGTATGTCACTGTATTACTATGAAATTGAGAAACACACAGTGAAATCTGACAGTATTAACTGTGATGAATGAACATATCAACAAGTGCTCTAAGTTTGGAGTAAGTTAGTACTTTGGAAAGCTTTTTGGTATTACCTGGTAAAACTGAAAATAAGTATAGTAGTAGAAATTGTCTAGGGGTCAGGGAGATACCTCAGTGGACTAAGCACTTGCCTGGCAAGTGCAAGGGCCTGAGTTTAATCCCCGGTTCTGGAAAAAAAAAAAAAAAAGAAAGAAATTGTCTTACAGGGGACTAACTAAATAAGCTTACACACAAATAACCATGATGCAAGAATGAGAGTGTTTTAAAATTACTTAAACCAAAGAGAAGACAGCTCCCATGTCCATTGTAAATAAACCAACTGTCCAGTAGTTAAAACTAATAATCTTTTCAATTGCATGTAGATATAAATGACTTACAATTAAAAAGTTAAAATGAATTCTAAAAGTAATAAATTATAACTAAATGAGCCAGTGTGACTAGCATAAAGTTGAGTCAAAAACAACTTGTATAAAACCACAAATTATCTAATACCATTCTCACAAAGTTCCAAAACAGGTGAAATAAAACTGCCTTGTTTAGATTTACATTTATTGGTTGCAGAACTACAATGAAAAATAAGTAAAAACTTATTTCCGAAGTTAGTACAGGCTAGGTGAGATCAAAGAGGAGTAACATGCAGGATTTCAGCATGGCTGATACTCTACATTTACAGTGTGTGGTGATTACATAGATGTTTGCTATAAAAGTATTTATTATATGCATCTTGTGTGCTTTTCAAGTTGTTTTACAGCATACAACTTCTTTTATATCTTATAAAAGAAATACATGAGAATATTAATATCATTTAAAATATGAATAAAAAATTGATAGGTATAAATAACAGTTGGCTTTGAAATAACCAGTTAAAAATCTTGGAAATGAAAGTAGTCATTGAGGTAAAAATTTAATGCACAGAATAAATTTTACACCTAACAATGAGTTTATGAAGCATGCACTAAGGAATTTACACAGAAACATAAAAATTCCTAGAAAATTTAAAAAGATAGCTAGGAGGGGTGTATGGAATAGATTGAAGGGTTCTATCATTGTACTTTACTCGGCTGAGATACTTTCTTATACTAGGAGATGGGTGGTATGTACAGTCCAGTAAACATAGCTGTTAGTAATGTTTTTTGTTAGCATAAATTTAAAGTGTATCTTATAACCAAGAATATTTTCTTTTATTGTATTTTTGTATTTTAGAACAGGGTGTACAGGGTCTCACTGCTTAGATCGGTCTCCTAGTGATCTTTCTGTTTACAGCCTCCCCAGTGCTGGGATTACAGGCATGTACCACCACACCCAGTCTCAATTGCCATCTCAGCATGCCCCAGGGGCGGAACCAGCACAGCAGGCCAAGGAATCAAACTCCCAGCCCCTTCTCTAAGCAGATGCTTTAATCCGCTGAGCTATTTGGCTGGTCCACAAAAATATTTAAAAAAATTTAGCAGCCCATATCCTTTTTAGCCATGTGGGAAGGTGAAGGCTTAAAAGCCATTGTGTTTTAAATGCAATTATTGAGTCATCCCCTGACCCAAGAAAAATTATTTTATCTGTTTCTTCTCTTAGGAGTTTGTTTAAAGGGCATTTTATTTGTTTGTCTGATTAACATGTTAAATGCAGGCTGAATACTAGTGATTTATTTTAAAAAGTGTTTGTTTTAAACTTTTTGCCATGGCATGAAGCATTTGTAGGTTAAAAATACTTTTTCTTTCAGGAATAATCTCTAATATCGTAACAAATTATAATCAAATTCATAGAAATTTTTCATGCATACTAATTTAGAAAGGATCCATCGGTCCCTGTTAGTAATGTATATCTGTGTCAGGGGGATTCATATTTTTAACAGCAATACAGAATTTTTGACATTTCCCCCCAGCCAGTCCTGTGATTGTAACTGCTTTAAGAATGTAGTTGATATTGGTATTATCTGAAAAACATGTGTTCAGATTTTATATGCAGTTGTTCCTACGTTTGTGAAATGTGGCTAGGTATAATTGTAAGAATGTAAATATTTTTAATTGAAATATAACTTTTTAAAAAATTTAAACAGTTGAACCCACTGTGAGCCTGAAAAAAGGGCAAGATTCTTTAATTGATGGAGGAAATGAAACAGTAGCAGCCACTTGCACAGCAGCCACTGGAAAACCAGTTGCACATATTACCTGGGAAGGTGATCTTGGTGAAATGGATTCCTTTACAACTAATTTTCCAAATGAAACAGCAACGGTTGTCAGCCGGTATAAGCTGTTTCCAACCCGATTTGCTAGAGGAAGACGAATTACTTGTGTTGTGCAACATCCTGCCTTGGAAAAGGACCTCCGATACTCTTTCGTGTTAGATATACAATGTAAGTAAATGCCAGTATTTGCCTTTCAGTTTACATCAAGCACTCTACTTTTTTTTCCTTTGATATATTTCACCATCACACTCTTTTCTTCCTCTTAACAAAGAATTACTTATTCTGTCTTATGCTTATTTTATAGATGCCCCTGAAGTTTCTGTAACAGGTTATGATGGAAATTGGTTTGTTGGAAGAAGAGGGGTTAATCTCAAGTGTAATGCTGATGCGAATCCACCACCCTTTAAATCTGTGTGGAGCAGGTAATACGATGTTGTATTTCTAGAAAGAAATGGTTCAAAAATGACGTTTTCTTTTTTTTTTTTTAAATAATTTTCAATTTGTAAAGTTGTTTTTCCTTAGTGATTTTGATTAGTGGTTTAATATTAAATGAAGAATTTAATTGCACAAAAGATTTCTAGACACATGTCCAACTTCCCTATCCTTCTCTCGAACTTTAGTGATATTCCTCAGTGGGTCCCTTAGCAATTTTACCTTTTTTCTGGTGCTAGTTACCATTATATATCTTAAACTGCTACTTCTTGATATATCAGTTTTTAACACTTCATTTCTAACTAGTGAAGAATTAATTTTGTATCTACCACCTCATCCACAAATACCACAGACATTTTTCTTTTTGTTGTCTGAAGTTGTTACTTTTATTTAAACTCTGTAATTACTGTTTGCCTCCTCATGACAGAGACATTATTTATCAAGAGCTGGATAGTACACTAGAATTTTTTTTTTTTCCTTTATCTGCAGCTATTTGTCTTGCCTGTGGCTAATTGTCTTTTCACATTCGTAGTTTTAGTGATCTCCATCTCTTTTTTTTTAATCTCTAAATGTTCAAACTGTTATACTAAGATTTTCATTCCTATTCTTAGTATTGACCTCTTTCAAGCTTGAGACTTTTAGCTGTCAACTTCAGATAATTTTATTTATTTTTTGTTATTTTCTCTTCATTTTCTTCATTCTTTTTTTAAAAATTGCATTTATTGGTACAATTTAGACATACATAATCACTCATTATGGAAAACTTGTACCTGTACAGGATATATCTTATTTCCTTTCTTCCCATTACTCTCCCCTCCATCACCTCTTCTCTTTATTTACAAAGCTTTGTTTCTATTTTATCCCCCTCCCCCTCCCCCTCTCCTTCCTGTCCTTTTGAATAAGTTCTTCCTGTTTGACAGTGTCTGTTGTACATTTTGGTTGTTATTTACACTTTTTCACATTAGAAAGACAATGAGATATTTACAAATATGTCGAATTTATTTCACTTGAGTATGGTCTCAAGGTCCATCCGTTTAGCTATAAATCTCTGAAGGTTGTCTTTATGGCTCAGTAGTATTCCATTGTATAAACACATCTTTTTTTATCCATTCACTGGGTGATGGACATTTGGGTTATTTCCAGGATTTAGCTATATAAACTGCTCTAAGTATGTGCTGCTATAAGTGTGGGTGTGCATATATTGCTGTGGTATGGTGCTTTTAATTCTTTTGGGAAAATACCAAGAAGGGAAATAGCTGGGTCATATGGGACCTCTAGTCTTATTGTTTGAAGAATCTCCTCACTGATTTCCACATTGATATATTCTTACTGGACCCCTATTGATTATATATCTTTTCATATTTTCTGAATGGATTTATTGTTTTTCCTAGACTATTTCTTAAAATAATTTCCATGACTCAGGCATTTTTTTTTTAAATTTTATTTGTGTGTGTGTGTGTGTGTGTGTGTGTGTGTGTGTGTGTGGCCAGCTCAGCCCACCAGGGCGCGGGGCTGGCTGGCATGTGGTGCTGGGGGATTGAACCGCAGTCCCTGTGCTTTGCCAAGCTTGTTCTAAGTAGGTGCTTTAGACCACTGAGCCATCTCACCAGCCCGACTCAGGGATTTTTTAAAACAATATTTTGTCATATTTTCAAGCACATTGTCATTCCCTGATCATTTTAATAGCATCATTTTCATGTTTACAGATAGTCTGCCTTCCTGTGTCTTCACTTTAATGTCATTTATTTTCTTCTAAGAGATTTTTTCTGCTTGGTCTTTCTTCTTCTAGTTATTTATCTTTCTGGTTGTTCAATCTTTTCACAGTGAAAACTTTTATCTACAATAAAAATCATTAATTAATAGGTTCCACTTGGAATGATCCTATTGATTTTCTTCCAGAAGTTCCAGATTCCAATGGAGAGCAGAGGTCTTCTGGCTAATTCAATTTACTTAACTGAATTTACCACATTATTTTGCCAGAGAAGTAAATGCCTTGTAACTGTGCATAATTGGAGGGAATCTGTTAATTTATTCTGTAACTTCCAGGTGATCTCTTTATTTGTAACCCTCTGCCACCTCCTGGCATTCAGTAGTACAGTGGGTCAAACTCCAGGCTTTTCTGGACCCAACATGGCTGCTTTTGCATTCATATACCTACTTCAGGGAACTCTTCAGCCTGAAGGAGAGATTTTGAACTCTGACACCATCAACAATTTTGGTTGGCTATTTTGGGTTTTGGCCAGTTCTATAAGTTTTACAGTGTGTAACATCCAGCCCTCCACTTCTAGAGCCAGTAGCACCGGCCACTCTTTCAGTTTCCAATACCCACCATGTTTACAGGTATACCAAATATCATAGAGAAGAATCACTCTTGGTTGAGAAACACAGGCTTAAAGCCTATGTTGTTCCTTCCCTTTCCTGACCTCTTAAGAATTTATTGAGCTATTGTGTTGCAGTGTGTTTTCTTTATCTTCATGGATTTTAAATAACTTTAATTCCGTAACTCTTGTTTATGGTGGGATTTTGTGGGACTAAGGAAACAGTACATTTAGTTACTGTACTACAGTTTTAAAGACAGTTTTGAAATTAGGGTAGGCTTTTTTTCTTTTATATATTCTTAAAAGTGGGAAGCAGTCATTAATTAGGATGTCTGTTTGATAAAGTATTTCTAAAAACTGTGTAATTCTGGGTCTCATTCCAGTGCCTGTACTTAGATGTCTTTTATTAGGAGTCGTTTAACCCCTCTAGTACTTAGTTTCCTAGTGAGCCTTTACTTCATAAAGGTTTTATAAGGATGAATATAAATGTATATTTATACTTTTCTAGAAACTTTGAGAATTATAAATGATTCATGTAACATAGATACAAAAACAGAGAAAGAGCTCAGCGTATATCATCTGTTAGGTGTTTAGTTATATATATATATAGCTTTTCTTATCCTGGCTTTACTGAATAAATATTATAAGCCAGCTTTAAATTTCTCGTACAGTTTTGGGTCCAAAGTATGGTTTTAATTGATAAGGCATATACAATTTTGCAAGCTGAGCTTGTAAAACTTTTCTGTTCAGAATCCTGGACAGAAAAGTTTGGAGTGTTTTTGTTTTATTTATTAGAATTGTATGAGAAAACTATCTTTGTTCTTCAGTACTAAATTAAATGTCAAGAGCATCCTTAAACCCCCAAATCCCGAACACTTACGTGTTACAAAGCCTGAAAAATTTTGAGTGTTGACATATCTTAGGTTTCAGATATTTAAATTAAAAATGCTTAACCAGTAAAGTCTACACAAGTACTCTAAAATCTGAGAAATTTCAAAATATGAAATAGTTGTTCCAGGCTTTTGGATAAAGGATATTCAGTCTGTACTAAAACCCCAGAAGTTTTTACTGTTTTTCTGTGCAGTGTTCTTGGGATCGTGAAACAGTATCATTGTTCCAGTTCTTCAGTATTTCTACCTTCTTAGTCTTTTCCTTATTCTTTTAATAAGTTTTTGATCCCCGAGACTGTACTTGCCTCTCTAGAGTCTAAGTAACTCAGGCATTTTCAAACTAAACCTTTCTCTTTTTTTGCAGTTTTGTTTTTTATTTATATATTATTAAAATGAATGTCTTTAGAGTTTCTTCTAGTGGAGATTACGTGGTTTATCGTAATAATGGATATAGTAAATATGGACTACTTTAGCCAAATTAGTATATACACTATTTAGAGTTATTGATACCAAATTGTGCTTTAGTTTTTATTGTCACACACTATACAAATAAAACTTTTCTATTAAGTAAATCCTTCTTTGTCTAAAGACCGTCTATAAAGGGAAGGCGTACATACCACTCTGTTAGTATTAAATGATATGGTATAACTACATTATAGAAGATACTAAAATATTTTAATATATTTAAATGAGATGACCTTTTAGTGAGGAAGCTGTAGATATATATGTATTCATAATTCACATAATTCATAATTAAAATTTCAGTTACTTTTATCCTCTATTTCTGATTTCCAATTTTCTGAATATAATCTTTTAAAATGATTTTTTTCCTTCTTCCCTCCCATTCTGTTATATTGGCCTACCTGTACTTCTATGAATTTTTTTTTTTGGCGGAACCAGGGATTGAACTCAGGCCCTTGCGCTTGCCAGGGAAGCGCTTATTCCACTGAGCCATCTCCCTGGCCTCAGCGAATTAATATTTTAGAAGAATGGATATTCCTAATGGGTTTTATCTTTATTAAAATAAAAATTTTATTACCTATATGTTGTCATTTAATGTTTAATTTTATACAAATAATAGTGTTTATTAACATCTCGATGGTGTAATGTCTTTTGTAAGTTTGTGTAAATAAATATAGTTTGAAGGTACTTAAAATAGTTTTGTGTTTTTTTAAATCTAGGTTGGATGGGCAATGGCCTGATGGTTTACTGGCTTCAGACAATACTCTTCATTTTGTCCGTCCATTGACTTTCAATTATTCTGGTGTTTATGTCTGTAAAGTGACAAATTCCCTTGGTCAAAGAAGTGATCAAAAGATTATCTACATTTCTGGTAAGTTACTGTCTACTTGCAAAATACTTATGTAAATGTTTCTATAGTAAGAACTATAGATGATAATATGATCCTATTCCTTTTTTTTTTTTTTTTTTTTTTTTTTTGCAGAACTGAGGATTGAATATGATCCTAATCTTGTAAAGATACAGCTTTGTCAATGTGAAATTTTTCAGATAATCTAAAAGATATATGATAAAGTAACCCTATTTGACATACATAAAAAGGTGTCATTCCTGTGCCTAAAGGAATGTCAAAATGTTCATAGAACAGTTTTATAAACATTTTAACTTTTTAATGCAGTTTTCAGTGAAACAGTATTACATTTGGCTTATAGACACATCCCCTTCTGAATTTTCTTTAAACAAAACATACCTTTGGTGGCTACTCTACATACAGGTTGTTTTTGGGTTTTTTTGTTTTTGGTTTTTTTTTCAAAAAGTATTTAAAAACTTTGGTTACCTGCTTTGCTAAATAACACCATTTGCCACTTATGGACCTCACTCATGTTGGTTTAGTGAGAAATGATATAGGAATGTTACTGAAAATGTTTTAATGAAATAAACTTTAATGTATTTCTTATTGCTATTTCTTAAGCCACTAAGAACTCAAGAGTTTTAGTGTTGTTTCATTTGAATGTTTTGTTAATTGGCTGAATATAAATTAGACAAGTCACAAAATGTGCATGGGGCTGAAATGTATTTTACGTGTGGCTATAAATTGTCAATAGAATACTGAGTTAGAAAAATATATAAAATATTTTGAGACTCCATAATAACTGCAAGAATGCTGTGTAGCAGTCCTTTTATTTAGCAGAAAGCTAAGAGAAAAAAGAGAACCTTGACAAATGCAAGTTTATATGGTAAATGTGTAATGAGTAAATCTAAAATGAAATATATACAGCATTTTAGAAAAACTTTATATTTGCTTAAATGATATATTCATACTCCCTGTGTGATCATTCAGTATAAAATCTCACTACTGTTCTATATTCATATAGTGTTCACCATCATATATAGATGTATCCTCATTTATTTCCTTATTATCTATCCTCAAAATTCAGCAATATGTATTTTCTGTCTGTACTACTGAAAGAGACTCAAATTTCTTTTATATGATACTGGCAAGAAACAGAGCTATGTACATATCTAGTGTTTCTGCTAGGTAGCAGTGCTTGGGTAGAAGTCAGGGAGATTAAATAATAGTGGATACATTTCTTTATAGGATAAGCCATACAAAATGGATATTTATGATGTAATTGTATAAACAATGTTTACTTTTTGTTCCTATATTACACTGTTTGGTGTGAAATATTACTTTTAAATTATAAGTACAATGTGTTATAGTTATGTAATTATGTAATCCTTGAAAGCTCTGTTGGCAAGGCTCAACTTGGGCACTCATATATAGTGATTCCATTAGGGATAACTGAAATTTATATCTTTTGACATTCTGGATCCACTTCCTAATACTTCCAACTGTCTCTTAATGACCATTAAATGTAGGCATTGTTGAAACTGAGATTTTCATCTTTCTCTTGGCTCCAGACACCAAGCTTCTTTCTCTGTCATTCTTTTTCCTGTTTGTTATATACAGCTTTATCTTTACATTTGTTCGGAGTATGACTTAGAATCCTTGATTTCAGTGCTTTTTCATACCATCCCCAGTTGTCTTGGTTATTTTTCTTTCATTGTGACAAAATACCTGATACCCCAAATTAAGGGGGGAAAGGTTTATTTAGCTTAGTTTGTAGAGATTTTAGTCTATAAACAGCTGGCTCCAAGGAAAAATGGCACATGCACAGGGCAGCAGTTCATGGCCGCAGAAAAGGCAAAACAGCAAGAGCAAAAAGGGAGGAGCAGTGGCAGGAGCAAGCTTCTCTCCCTACCTTAAATTGCATTCAGGCTAACCACCCCAGGGCAAGTGTAGCACTCATAATTCCAGCCATAGATCATGAATTAGTCACAAACTCTAGAAGGCTGCCCCATGACTGCATGAGGCTTTGGGGGCACAACTTGGACACAAACCATAACACCAGTCCATTACCAAATCAGTGTTGGCTCTCATGATATGTAGAATTTTACCACTTCTTCACTTTTGCTAGTTTAAGCCATCAGCAAGTGTTACTTCATTACATGCTAGCCATTTAATCTCCCACTTTGATTCTTTTACCCTTCGGTTTGTCATCAGATGAACAGCCAGAGTGATCCTTTAGAAGGGCATGTCACATCATAGCACTCTTCTAAGAACTACCATGGACTTTTCCTTTTACCTACAGTGGCAAATATTATTTTCAGTGATTCAAGACTCTACATGTTCTAGTCGTCGATTATCTCTGTGACCTCCTTTTGTATTATACAGTCCTTGTTTACTGGCATAGCCACTCTGTCTTTCTTGTTCTTTGAACACAACAGGCACTTTTCTGTGCCTCAGTCTTTGCATTTGATTTTTCTACTCTTTGGAGTACCCTTTCACAAGTTATCCTTATGGAACTTCCCTTCCCAACCTTTGGGTATTTACTAAGACACCACGTTTTTCAATGAGATCTTTTTTTCTTTGTGACATAGTTTCAGTAGAAAATGATATGTTATTACTTTTTTATAACATTTTGTCCTCCGCTGCCTTGACACACTGCATGTTTTATTCATGATATTTGTCTATGTTTACCTCCAGTACTGAGCATGATTTTGGTCTTACTTTCATAGTTGCTGTGTTTCTATCATTGGCAGTGATGTTTTGGGTAGATGTTCAGCATACTTTCATTGTATGCATGAATGAATTTGAGGAGAACAATTAGGAAAATAATTAAAAATCCAGTCTGCTTTTACCTAATTTAACTAGATCTTTGAACGATAATTTTGTGTATTTCTTAAATCAGCGTCCACTGAGCCTCATAAAAAGGGAAATAAAGTTTTGAGTAAATATTTTTTAAAAATCACAATTACCTCTGAATACTTTACATAGTATTATGGGAGAAAATTTTTTTTTTAAATTTTGAGTGATAATTAGACTTTACCTTGCTACTCAGAATAAAATTTAATATACTCTCTCAGGTTTAGTTACTTCTTCTTAGAGCTGCTTAGAGTATCTTTTTTTTTTTTTTTTTTTTTGGTATTTAGTATAGGTCTACAGGGTCTCACTACACAGATCCGACTTGGTAGTGATCCTCCTGTTTTCAGCCTCCCAAGCTCTGGGATTACAGGCATGCACCACTACACCCGGTCTCTCTTAGAGTATCTTGAGTATCCTAGATATGATTCTGTTTTTTCCATAATAACTATTTAGTAAAACCTACTAGGTTTTCATGAGATTAGGAGGATGTGTACAGAGTAAAAAATTATGTCATTTTTTTCCATTGTAAATTATATGTACCCCTTTTACCCTAAGAAAGAAATTGACCTCATTATTCCAGTTAACATTTTAACATTTTAGAAGCAATTTTTTAAAATGCAATAAAGGCAGTACTTAAGTAAAATTGTTTTAATTTTAATATACATTTTTTTACATTGGTAGATGTAAAATTTGGAGTCTGTTCATTAATGATTGTAATATTCAGCTTCACTTACTAGATGGTATTCTCAGTATGGCAGTCATTTGATCATTATTAAATAACTGCAGGAAATTGAGTTCCTCTGGTTTGCTTTTAGTATGTTTTTTTTTTCTCATTTATGCCAATTTAAAAATGGAAAGGCAAATTTTTACATGTCAGATAAGTATCCTTATGACTAAAGTTCATCTTGTGCAAATATTGAATTTCAAGTCATATTTAGGTAGGGATCTGATACAGTTTCAAAACCTAACAATACACATTTAGTAATTTTTAAAGTTTAAAATGAATTATTTTGTTTATTCAAACAACGCATATAAAGTTTAAAGGAAATAATAGTCAATCCATTTAATTTTTACCATAGTTATCTTTAGATTAAAATATACTTTACAGCTATAGAGACATTACTGCACTATTTGTTTTGCGGTTTAGCTGAAATCATTAGAAAAAGAATCATACTTTCTTCATTTGGAGAGGAATTCTAGAAGTATACTAACATTCATACAGCTATTATATGTTCATGTATCATACATTCAATAAGAATGTTGAAAAAATTCTGACTGAATAAGTAAAGAATTATATTGGGAAGAATTTTAAATCACAGTAAACAGTTAGCTTCTAATGAACAGAAAATTTTCTCCTTATATGACATTTGTTCTAAATTTAAAGACAAAAATATTGTTATTGTTTAAAATACAATATAATAAAGTGTTAACAATAATTTCTGTGGAGCTGGTGATATGGCTTGGTGGCCTGCAAGCACAAGGTCCTGATTCCAGGCACAACCGCCTCCCTCCCCAAGGAAAACTATCTGTGGAATGACATTACCGAGAAAATTGCTTTTTAGCACTAGTGAGAATGATGGGTTCAACCTTCAGGTAGCACAAAAAATGAACTAAGTTGAAAATTAAAATTTTTTTTTCTGAAATCTGTATTTTGTTAATCTGAATGAAATAAATACTACTTTACAAGTAGAATATTTTTAAATGTCTTTTTTTTCTTATGATACATGGTAAATATGTTACATATCTAACACCTGGAGAAAACTCAGGTGTAAATAATGTTAAACCTTAAAAATTGTATATGCATTAAAATGTATAAATTATAATTTATTTAGTTTATTTGTACTTTTACTTGGATGTGCTGATGCCAGCTTCTTAATGATACTTTTTTTCTTAATAATCACTGTAAAGATGAATGGTACTTAAAACTACTTCAGAAATACATGAAGTGTTTTACTGGTGGTTTAAGTTTTAATTTATTCAGTATTCCTATTCTGTGAAGTTGGATTATTTAAAAGCTTACTACTTTTATAGAAATAATCCACTTTCCAGATTTTTCAGATTGTTTAGCTAATGAATATACTCTTGTAAATTAGAGCTCTTCCTTGATTCACCTACATATATGATGATAGCTAATACTCACTTAGAGTACTTGACAGGATTACCTATTA